CTCCTAAGTTATAAGCTGAGAGGTTTTTAATAATTGTACTGGTTCTCAAATTAATAGTTGTATTTAACAAACTTTCATAAGAATAATATGCTCTACCTTAGGCTTTCTTAGAACATATTTGTGTAAGTAGACTTGGGCTACTGCTTATGTATTTCTGCTACCACTTCATATTTAACAGCTGTGAGTTACTAGTTCTTATTTGAATTTTTCAATTTAATATCTAGTTTAAGTTAGAATATTTTGGCTAGCTAATATTTTGAATCAACTTTAATAGGTCCTGCTCATATCATTCCAAAGGGTTCTTATATTCTAGTCTTTGAGAAAAGAACCTCATTGCACTGCACACTTGATACTTTTAATCATTATTTTCTAGATTAAGAAAATTTTAAAGTCCTATGATCTTGTTTACAATAGTAGAGTGCACATGGTTCCATAAATTGAGCTTGCTTTCCAAGATTAGTTTTACTCTTGAAGTTTGAGTTTGCAGATTTGTTAATTTGTTAGATACTTATAATTTTGAAGTGAGGGATAATATTGATCTCTGTTTTTGTAACAGCAAATTTGTTGCACTTACATCGGACTTGTGGGATAAAACCTATTTCTTGATATATATCTAGTTATCCCATGATATTTCTTAAGCTAATGTGTTTGTCTCATGCTTTCAGTCATTTCATGCATCTGAAAATCCTTAACTGCAGAGGAAGGGAGTACACACATAACTTTGCTTTCTTGGTAGGGTTGGGGGTGGGAGTTATTCTTGGACTAATAGCTTCAGGCAGTTTTCACTTGCAGTAGAAATGATGGTCAGGCTTTAAGAAAGTATTCTTGTGAATTGTTAATGGCACTAACTTCTGTTACTAGACAGTAGACCAAGCTGATATATTTTTTGTTATACTCTTTTTTTCACTAAACCAAAACTACTTCTGGTTGTAATTCAGCTGCCACTTCTAACCATAGTATAGATTCAAATGTTCCTATTTGAAACTACATTTGATTTTTCCTAAAATGTACAATTTTAGTTATTCATCTCTTGGGCATTTAGACTAAATTGTGCCTGTGTTTTCCTGGAATCAATAACGCTTTGGCCTACCCTAACAAAAGTAATGTAGTTACGTTAATTCCTGGATATACCTAAATGTGTATCATGTATATCATTTTAGTGTGAAAGTTTCTGTTGACATTCTTCTATGAAGAGCTGACCTCTTGAGATGTAGAAGAATTGGCGTTTGTGTGATTTTAGCTTCTGGAGCTTTATTTATAATTTATTTTGAAAAATAAAAATGCCACATTTATTTCTCAAATGTCAAGATTTTCTAGGTTTAGGTAATTAGAATAAAAAGGCTGAAGATGTTTTTAAACAGATTTTATATGTAGTGAGATACTGTGAAAATACTAGTGAACAGCATATTGCTGTAATGTTGATTTCAGTTATTAGGATTTGAAGAGTTAGTCACCAGGATATGGTAGATGAACATAGTTATCATTTATTACAAAACAAACAGATAATTTTCTGTTTGCATGCAAATTATTTTAATAAGTGTGAAAATAAGAGTTTGGAAGATAGTATTTTTACTTTTATATCTGAACTGTTATCAGAAATTTGTACTTTGCTTTTTTTTAATGACACCACCATTCCCTCCTCCTCCTATGAAAGTGTTGTGATTTGTATCACATTGAATATTTTATCATTTTAATTTTTCTGAGACCCTCTAAACATAGATAAGATTTGGGTTCACCATAGCAAAGCAAGTAAGAAATGAGCTACAAATTTTGAAGAAAAGTCTAAACATTAAATGAGTTGCTAAGAAAAACCACTGTTAAATTTAGGTCCATGAGAGCAAACACATATATCAGCCTAATCCTATGCTAAATATGAATAGTCACTGAGCTGTAGTATTTCTCATGAATGCAAATATGTTTAAATTGCCAGCTTTAAGATCTTAGCATGTGTACATATTTATAAAAACTGAATTGTGTTTCTTCTGTGGCTTGCTATGTATATCTCTTCCAGCAATAGGATGCTCTCCAAAATATTCTAGCCTACTAGCCTAATGACTAAATTTGTTTTTGTATGTGTGTGTGTGTGTGTGTGTGCGTGTGTGTGTGTGTGTGTACTTGTGTGTATATAGGTTTTTTTTCCAACTTGACATACCTTATCACAGACATTTTTAAAAAAAATATTTTATATGACTACTGTCTACCAATTCTTTGCCTCTGTACAGCACTTAGCCTGCAAATTTCTGCTTGATCATTTCATTATGATGTCTAGAGAACCAATACAGATTTTGTCATGTGCCTGTGTCCTATTCTTCTACTTTAATTTGTCCTACTTTTATTTGTTTTATTCCTGTTTCCCTCTCCAGATATCAGGCTTGTGCTAGAATTTTTTGATACAGCACTTTGTTTCACCCAGAGGCAAAGAAACAAAGTAAAATTCATAAATCTCATTCTGCACAATTATGTGCTCAGATATCTGAGCCCTCCAGTACTTTGAAGTAAGTTGACTGATTTACTATTTGTTGTTTTTTGTTTTAAGCCTATAGATTGTCATCCGGCAATAACAGAGTGATTGAAAGAGAAGGATATGAATGGCACTTCTATCTAACTTTTTGATAAAACTTTTTTGAGCATTTTTCAAAATTTGTATGTTTGTGGTAATGACAAATTAAACTTACTACTCACTTATATATCCCAGAAACTATTTTATGCATATTTACCAACTGGTACTTGCTTGCAAAGTTGGAATTTTCACATACACAAAAAGGAGACTTGCATCCTGTGTAATTTTCATATATTTAAATATCCAGCCTTTTAAACAGTAACATTTTAGTTCTGAGGTGAATAGTTTAGTTCTAGTGGGGAAGGGATAGAAGTACATTGTTTTAAATGCTAACCTCATCCCTAACATTTTTGTGGTACATGAAGTTTTATGAAAATTTTATTGAAAATAGAATATTCTAAGATCACTTTTAAGACTTATTTAAAAATATTGGTGTGAAAATATTTTCATGCTTTTCTGCTTTCTCTCTTAGTAAAGTTCCTTTACTAGGTTTTGATTACCAAACTTACCAGGTTTTACTTAAATTCCAGTATAAAGTTATTTTTGTCATGGTGCTATATTTTGTGGAATATAGATAGCACTCAGGTTTCTCTATATTTATTTCTTTAATAGCCTTATCCTTGATTATTTTCTTTTTGATCTTTCTTTTCCTGATGACTTTTATCCTCACTTCTCTTTTTGCGATGAAGACTGCACCTAATTTGGCACACTTCAACAAGATTGGCAATTTCAGATTCATTGATGGGAGAAGTATAATAGAAAGGCCCTGCAGTTTGGAGTTAAGGTGTGTGTTTGTTTATTTATATGTATGCCCTTTGTTCTTATTATACCTATCTTAATCTAGAATATAAAACTTTGACATATAAAAGCATGATAAGTATTTTCTAAAAAAAAATAAAATTATTGATACATACTAAAATTGCCATTGGTAATTGACTTTTAAAATCACATACAAAAATATTTAGAAATCCAGCTGGGAAATGTTTTTTTACATGTTACCAGATAAACATTAGGCAATACTACAAATGTTAATTCTTTAAACATGACTGTGGTGATGGCAATCAGTAATTTATTTCTTTGTCCTGTAACTTATCATTCTTATCTTTTGTAATCCCCTTCACAGTATTAACAAAACTGTACCTTATGTTTGTTCTTCTAATCCATATATTTTAAGATGGAAAATCATTCAATTAATAGTTGATGTGATGTTGTATATGGACAAAATTGTCCATTAAATTAAAACTCAGTAAAGAAAGGTAAACTAAACTGGCTTGGTTTATAAAAAATGTTTTATTTGGCTGTTGTCAGTCATTATAAGCAATTATCTTCAAAGACAAAAAACTGAACTAATTTGTTGCCATTCTTTATGGGATGTTTACAATAAAATTCCAAGTTGTTTGGAATCACTTGCACTCTTGCTGCTTTATGCCTTAACATATGTACCAGAGAGAAATGAACAAGAAGAAAGAAATAAGGAGTTACCTTTATATTATCCAACTTTACAGATTTTAACATGTAACTCTTGGGTCTTTCCTTTCTTGTTTCTTTGTCATATAATATTTTGTTATTATTTTTCAATATGAGAAACTAGGATGTTTCTTCCTATCAAAGAAAAGGTGTTTTTTTGTTCATTTGTTTGTTTTGCCTTAGTTGTTGCAAATATTATTTGATTCGCTTTAGGTAATAAATATTATTTTAACAGTTTAATTGTAGGCTGCCTGATACATTAAATAACAGCCTGCAGAAGATTAGTCGGCACTTTGTTTTGTAGAGCTTTTGAAAATTAGTAGCTTTCTAATGTATTTATGGGTAAGTTTTAACAGTTGAATTATGAATCCCTGGCATTTTAAAATTTATAGTCAAATTTTCTACAAAGCTTAGTTATCTCATAAGTTGTATTTTTAGTCAGCATAAGTGTAGGAGGGAGAGAAGTGATATGAGGTAACTTTTTATTTTTTGAGAGATTTTTGCTATAGGGCACATGCTTTTGTCAGAGAGAGAGAGAGAAAGAGAGAAATCACCCCACAGGGGGTATGGTTAGGCCACAATTCCTTCTTCATTCTCCTCTCAGGATTTTGGGGATGCACACACACA